GGAAGGAAGGTTGGGCAATCTACTTCCGTAGTGATACTGCCTCGGAAACCCAAGGAGGGGTCGCTATGAGTCAGGGCCGACTCGATGGCAAATAACAACAACAACAACAGTAGCCACATACTGCAGCCTGCCTTTGCTAGGATCCATAGTGTTTCCCCTTCTGTCAAACATCCATCTTTCTACTTTTAGCATAGACTCAGGCTCTCAATTGAAAGCGTATTAACTCTTAGTTTGTGAACATTATAAATAAGTTTGATTATGTGGTTTTCTTGCACACAGCTAGATTTTGTGGAGGGGGGAGAAAAGGCTTTAAAGAGACTTTTTTTTTTTTTTTTTATCTATAGTGAGAGTTAAGAAGAAGGAGCCACATAATAAAACCATAGTTGATTTTCACAGCCATGACCCTGGTGCAAAAGGACAACATTTAAGCATGTTTAGTCACCTCTGTGAGGAGTCCCTGGGTGCAAACGGTTAAGCACTCAACTACTAATGGAAAGTAAGCAGCTCTGGTAGTGCTGTGGTTAAAGCATTGGGCTGCTAACCAAATGGTTGGTGGTTTGAACCTACCAGTAACTCTTAAGGAGAGAGAAGAGGCAGTCTGCTTCTGTGAAGATTTACAGCCTTGGAGAACCCTATAGGGGCAGTTCTACTCTGTCTTCTAGGGTTGCTATGAGTCCAAATCAATTCAATTGCAGTGGATTACTTATGGAAAGTTTGATGGTTTACGTTCAGAAGAAAGTGACCTGCTTCCAAAAGCTCACAGCCTTGAAAACCCTACAGAGCAGTTCTACTCTGCATGCGTGGGGTTGCCATGCATCAGAATCTACTCCATGGCAACAAGTATTTTTGATTTTAGTCACCTCTGTGTAAGTGAGCCTAAAAGGATGCAATGTGTGAGACTTCAGTTGAGAATGGTAAGGAATTTAAAAGTGGGAGTAAACTTGTATTGTTCCTATTTGCAGTGCATGACTTACTAGCATGGACTGAGAGGTAGTAAGGAAAGTTTGAGTTAATATATGAAGAATAATATTTTCATTTTGAAAAGATACTTTTATTTCTTAATCATATATATA